CCCCCCCCCCCCCCCCTTGAAAAAAGTCTCCTCTCGTTGATTCCCTCATACCTAGTTTACTATTCAGGAATTCCTGTCTGATTGAGCTTTTTTTAAAGCTCAATTTAATCATTTACCATCCTCTAAATTTGTATTGCTATAAAAATTTCAACAATTGGGTTTTTCATTCTGCTAAATTTTGATGCAATGTCACGGCTAACATTGGCATCTTTCTTTTTCATTGAATAACATTATAGTGCTACTTTTGCAACTTTTAATTAAAGTTTCCTGTTTTATTAAATCCTAGTTAGTACAAATAAAGTAGCACTGTTTTAACATATATAACAGACGCATTCATTTCCTACTGCGTGGCTGGTAGGAAAACAACAGCTCACAGATCACAACACCTTACAGTTGATACATTTGTCACTTTTATTCCCATGTTAGTATTCATATTTGAACTCTAATAACTCCTCCACTACTTTTCCAGTTTGCAAAAGGGAATAAAAAAGTAATCCCCCCTGTATGTATTAAATTTTACATCCAACCCCTTCTCTCTCTTGCTGTTATTTTCTCCTATGCGCCCCCCTCTAATTTTCCAACCCAACCCCCTCCCCCCCTCCAGGTAATTATTGCACATTCCCTTATTCCAACGAATCATGATACTCTCCTCCTTCGATCATAAGAGTTTGCGGTTAAACCAAAATGAAAGTGTCACGTTCATGAATATATGGTGCTTTAAAAATATTGATGGCGAGGGTAGGAAATAAGTCCCTATTAAATCGAATTCGCGTTTTTCCAAACTTTTCTGCATTTATTCCAACCTGCTCAAAACGGCAAATGTAGATATATTTCACTGGAGTTGAATCCTTGGGGACCGCACCTTGAACGGCGAAAGAAAAATTCATCATCGTGTCTTTATTTCCATGTCCTCCAAACAACGACGCATGAAAAATTTCACGTCGTAGTCACGGCAAAGAAATGTACCAAAAAGCGTGCTACACATGCAAAATTTGTTGTTTATCTTCTAAAACCTTGTCGTTGCTAAAGCCACCCAGCATTATCGATGTCTGTAAACTGTTGGGAATCTGAATACGTTTCAGTTTAGTAAAAACGCCTACGAAATGCATGATCCCAATACTCTCAATAAAATACGCCCGGGATCCTGATTCCGAAGTACATGTATTTATGAATCCTCTAGTGTAACCGTAGCGCCTACGCGAACAAGGTAACTCAGACTTCTATTTGCAAATGTGTGATTCTTTTACCGCTATTTGTCATATTACTTTTAACCAAAGAAGCACCCTATACGTTGGAGTAATCGTGCCTCACTTCGTCTAGTGCGAAGACAGGCCGAAGTGAAAACAACGCGTTTACGATTTAAATCATGCTGCATAGCTTTTTACGCCCTGTCATGTAGCCTTGCTATTTGCACTTTTCCCGTCGTTTCTCTAAATTTCTGAAACACATTAATAACTAACAAAGAAAATACAAAGGAAATTTTGAACATTAAAATGTTTAATGAGTGTTTGGATATCAGGTGAAAAACTGCTCGTCTTTGCATTGTTAATTTATCCGTTTAAAATCATTTTGTTTGAAAAGTATATCAAGTATATGTCATAGTGTTTCATCACCAGATGAAACACCTCGAAGTTCGTGTAAATTACTCCGCTGGGCGTCATATTTTCAACTCTCTTCTCAATGTTTCATCTGGTGATGAAACACTCAGTCTCATGCTTGATATATTAAATATACGGTACCACTGACGTTTCTGTCCACCAATGAATCACGTCTCTTTTCTGGAAGCCGACATTCTGGTGTAAAAAGAAAAATCAAACAGTCCGTTGTTAACTGAATTGAGTCGAACAGTGCTTTTCAAATAATTAACTTTTATCTATCTTATTCTTTGGTCCTTTTTACCATTGTTCACTTTTGTATCTTATTATTTTTTTACCCTCGACTTTTTCAGGTAATCACGTGCGTACCGTGCGTACAGATTGGTAGCTACGCCCCTGTAGGCATCCGCCTTCCAGGAAGAATCTGCTTTTGTGAATTAAACATACTCGACTTATGATGTCCCCCTCAAAATGCTAAAAAGCTTTCCATCCGACTGTTTAACGTGAACATGATAATTGATTTTTTTCCCAGTTTACAAACCTGTTTCATGCTGAATGTGGCAAAGATTTTACAACAAAAATGGCCAATTTCAAACAAATTGGTAACTTGAATCAACCCTTCGCGAGTTAGTTTTGCTGTTAGCCAAAATTTGTTTTTTGAAAACCTATTATGATCTTTTATCTCGCTCTCTTCTTTCCCTTTGCCTTTCTTTATCACAGCCATATCTGTGGCCCACTTTATCACCTTAACTTTCCTTTGCATGGAATTTTGACTGGCCAACTTTCCAGGAAAGTAAAGAGTAGTAGGAGAATAGCAAAATTGGTAGTGGACTTTTCCCCAAATGTTGACAGTTGTTTTTGTGTGTATCTGTCAGGACTGGTCAAAATATTGAACAATTATTGGACAAAGTTAAGCAAAATATCGTGATTTTTCAGCAGAGCAGATCAATTATTTGCCGAAGCCTAAGGCATGCAAAGGCCAATAACTGATCTGCGAGATATTTTGCGATAACCGACTTCGATAATTTTAGTTTTTGATCACTGAGGTTGTTTTTAAGCGCGCTGGCTTACAGGAGTTATGACAGAGGTCGAATGGTTTCCTTCTCATTTTAGTTCGACCTTAAATTTTTAATACAGTCAACCGTTCCATAACAAAATTTATCATCTTGATAGCTTAAACGGTATACTGGATGGGTCTAGGAAGGAAAATATGCATAGGTCCCTTTGGACTTAAAGGGTGCTTTCCATAATGCCAAAATTTTCGGAAGTTTCAGGCGAGAAATACATGGAATCCTTTCGGTCAAAGTGGTCCACCTTCAGAGGTGGTCCTCTTTGACCGGTCGGTCCAATCCTACCGAAACTTGCCATTCCATTTCCAAAAATTCCGTTTCCAGTCCTTCTTAGCTAACCAGTAATCACAATTTCGGTGGAAACGTAAATGGATCGCTTTGATTCGATTGGATACTGTTTCGATCGAACAATGTCGTTCCATTTTCTCTTGATTGATAAATCCACTGGCTTCTGACTGTTTGGCAAAATGGAGGGCACCCAAAACGATGAAAGCGCTTTTTTAGAGTTTAAAGCAACACTTACTGTGTCAGTCTCATAATTGACGAGTTTATTGTCCCTGGGATGTAACAATTTACAAGATATACAGACACGAATGTATTGAAACACACAAGACAGAACGCATTTCCACAGGCGGTCGGTACTCGATTTGTTAAAAAACAGTCACTTCTTGAGGAAAAATAGCAGAGGATTAAGATTTACACATTTAAATACAAATTGTACAGATTAATAGGTAATATTCAACATTTTTAAAAAACACTTTTTTCTGAAACTTGGCTCTAACTACCTGACCTTGGTGAAAAAAAAAATATCATCAAAACCCTTTTTGTGGCCTTTTTCAACGTTACAAACTGATCTGACATCGGACAGGTAAGAAAAAAACGCTTGTTAGAAAGAATGTGAAGATTGCGGATAATCGTTTCTTCTTATAATTACGAAGGTAGAACGAGATTACGCAGTTTTCTTTTAAAATTACTTTGAAAGTGAAACAACGACTGCACATTTTAGACCTTTTTAAGACCACACAGTAGAAAAACAGTGAAATTAGAAACAAGCGCAAAAAACTGTACATCATTCTAACTCCACCCTATGCAGTATGAGTGAGTTTTGTCCGATACAAGTCTAATAGTTTTGAAGAGCAAACCCTTGAAAAGAGAATCAACTCGAATTATTACTGACGCTGCTCTATACAAATCCATTTTCATCCATCACATCATGTTCATCATTATCATCGTCATCATCTTCATTATCACTATCTTCCTCCTCCTCCTCATCGTTGCCATTTTCGTTCGTTCGTGAATCGTCGTCGGCGTCGTCGTCGTATTCATCATCATCGTCGTCGGAATCCCGAGAGCCTCCCCTCTCCACTTGGCTTCTGTGAACAAGGGCACGTTCGTAAGCTTGCATGACGGATTTCCTCATGGAGGTCTTCCGACCTTCCTGTAACTTGCTTTCGTCTCGATCTTCTTGTTGTCCCAAAGGTTCGAGTTTGTGACGAGGTAGCCATTGCCTAAAGCGAAACAGGGAGAAAAGTTACATTAAACACAGTGAAAAAGTGACTTTGTATTTTACGGTAAAAGCTGACTACAAAACGGGAAACTGGTTTCCATAATTCCTCCTTTTCCCTTGGCAATTTTGCAGTCAAGCAAGGTCAAGCGTACCCGCCAGGATTTTATTAATGCATTATTTATGTAAAAGATGAATCCGTTAGTATAAGGTAGTTAAATATATTTTCAGATTCATTTCAGCACGCGTAAACTAATGGGCAGTAAATGCACACGCTAGGGAGTTAAGTTCATAACAGTTTTCACCCAATGTGACCGAATATTGAGAAAATGTACTCAAACATTCAATGCTCATTTCGCACGCAGGAATGCAGATTTGAATAGGCTGTTTCCGAGTTTCAAAAGTTTTCACTTTCAAAACGAGGCTAAGTGCACAACCTTTCTTGTGAAAATGAGTTTTATTTGCACGAGAATAAAAAATCATTTTCATGTCAATGGCTTTGCACTTAGCTTGGCTTTGAAACAGAGGCTTAAGGCAACTTGGAACACTAGGTACAGAAACGACAAACAGATGCATTTTTCCAAAAAATCAATTCATTAATAGAATCTAAGGGGTACACTTGACCTGGTTTGACTGTAACCCTTTATTTCGTAATCCATAAGACGATCTTTATACTGCGATTTCTAATTACAAGAATCGTTGGTTTAATACAACTCTGAGCCAAAAGTGAACCACATCTCCTTAAAATCACTGTTTAATTGATAATACAGTTTATGAGAGTAACAGTTAAGCCAGGCCAAAATATGTTTTGATTTTTAAACCGTAGCTTATCATTTTTACTGTGCGAAATTTATACTTTAAGTGGCTGGAACTTACCAAGTTCGTCTGTTGTCGAAAAACAGCACAAGGTAGAGATGTTCATCAGTGGACGCTCGCTCCTTCAACACATCCTCGGGTGGAACGGGAATCGGTACGCCGCGGTAAATGAAGCCTTTCTTGGTTCGCGGGTTGATAATCTATAGTAAACAAGTAAAAGGGTAAATAATTCCAGAGGCTTAAAAAATTTATCCCTTTATGTTGTTGTATGCTAACTAGAGTACACTAACCGGCATCTTTTCGTTTGAAAGGTCCGAGCGGGAATCAACATTATTGTGAAAAGATCAAAACACGGAGAAGGACGAATCTGGATTTGAATTTATACATCACACATATCGACCGTGTGACGTGCCTTTCCCCTCGAAATTTATTTGATTCATGATTTAAAAAAAAACTAAACAAACAAATCAACTAAATAATACAAGACCTGCACACATAAATGTGAATGTGGCACAGTGTTAACTAAAACACACGGTTATAAAGCTTGATTTCGATGTGATCTGTCACGGTCTGCGGTACAGTGCGACACGATCGACAGCTGTCTGCATCGCACGTATCCTAGACGATCTCAGACACAAAAGAAACATGTTCTCAGTGTTTTAGCGAACTCAGATATGCGACGTTTGATCGCACCAAAGAAAATGGCGCCGAGCAATTAACTGGGCAATAAATGACAAGTGTATTCACAGGAACGACAGTGTCGACGATAAGCCGCAAATAACATCCCAAACAAACGCTTCCAATGGAAACGTCGCGACACTCAACTCAACTCTTTCGATCACCCAGACCAGGTGGCGCAGACCACTGAAGGCGCCGAGCCTAATGTTACCCTCTGTCTGCGAAGTGACGCAGACCGCTCACCAATCGTGTCCCTTACGGGTTATTAGGAATCAAGGGGTCGAATTCACGAAGAGCTTTGGGAATACGCAAAAACGACTTTAAGTCGAATCTCGTCCTCGAAGTCGCCCTCTCCTTGAATCTAAGGGAGTCTATTATTTTCTATTCTAACAAAGTTTAGTTTCGATCATTTCGCATTTCAGTAAAAACAGAGCTGAAACTTACCAGGGCGGGGTAAGACGGATATCCCCGACATTTTGCCCACACCAAATCCAACGGCTGCATGGGAGGCAGATCCGCTATGTCTGAATCCGAAGTCATTTTCCTAGGTCTGGGCGCCGCTTTCTTCCGCCGCCTCCCGTCCACTGGTCCGTTAATGGCCCGATTCTCAGCCGAACTGTTCTCGGTGTCGGTCGTGCTGAGTTCGTCTTCCGACAACGTAGACAGCTTCCGGCAATGTTCTCGAGACGCGCGCGTGCCATTCATTCTGATATCACTGATATCTGACTCGGAACCACTAGTGTAAGAACGGTATGAACGCTGCCGTAAGCCATTGGTAAACGCGAAATGATTATTCATTCGATCTGAGGGAGTATCGAACATAGGCAACGTAGCGTCCTCAATCAGCTTGCCCAGCTCTGTTTTGTAGGTCTTCTTCGGGACGTAACAAGTATCATTAGTACCTAAACTGTCCCCGCGAGGACGCTTCTGTGGTTTGTTGTTCTCTTTAGGTGCTGGCTGATGCCTGTCCTCGAATACTGCATCTTCATGAGCATCAGCGTCTCTAAGACTATCTGTGCGAAGATTCTCTGTCACGTGCGCCTCCGTGCTCACGTGCTCTTGATCAAACGTTCGATCGGAGTCAGACGTTTTCAGCGCGTGGTTGGGTGTATTTAAAATGTCTAGCGGGAACTTGTCGGCTCCTGCTGATAGATTACGTCTGGCTCTGTACCTTCCCTTGTTAAAGAGGATACCGCTTCGCCTGCTAGTGCCCGGGCTTGGGTTAGCAATAGCTCTGCTGTTTAGCAGACTCTCCCCTGATAAGCGATGATCCTCAGTGTCTAATGACTTGGCTGTATTAGGACCATTTAGCGTTTCATTTTCATCAATGGGTCGAAACTTCTTGGGCGGTTGTTCACTTTCTACTGGTGACAGACAAGACTCGCTTAGGATGGACCCATCCACGCCACCAACTACAAAGACAGTTTAAAAATAAATAAACAAATAAATAAAATAAAATGGGTTGTAATTGGAAAACACTACATGTAGCTCTTTCATAGTGCCAAAATCGTGAACAATGACAACAACAAAAAAGCACGCTATAAGATCATTCAGTTTTGCGCAAAAAAGGGGCAATGAACGAAGTCTAATACCGAAATTGAATGACTTATGGTAGGCGTTTGCCGGAAACAACTACGAAGCGAATTCCAGTCCTGGCAGAGGGCAGGATGTTTGTCACATGAACCTCGCTATATGGCCCTGGTCTTGTAGCTCGCTGGAGTTTCCTTCAGCTTAGGCAGTGATAGCGCATTTGGGAGATCATAGGATTCTATTCCAGACGGAAAAACTCATTTTTTCCCACAGCCACCTGTTGATTCAGTTTAATTTTTAAATTTTTATTGTGTAGTCGTAATTTATGCAGGGCCCCTTTTGATACCAGCCAATGGCTGACACGGCCATCCTGCCTAAATAAAGTTGACTTGACTTGACATTTTAAAAACATCATTCTCACACAAACAAAATATTTCAGGTATTTTTTAATGTATTTACAGGTAGAGTGTATGAAAAGCTTGTAACAAAGGTTGGTATTAAGACATTATCTATGACAGTGAAATTTGCTTACCACTAGATTCTGAAAGTTGTCTTTTTTCTTGGTTTAGTTTTCTTCTAATGAGCGCGATCTCTTTACGTAACATTCTAACTCGAGTAGCTCTTACACCTTTCAGATGAAAAGAATAGAATATTTCATCAAGCTTGGTAGACACGAAGGACATTACACATAGGACTATCACTCGTGGTGTGTTTAATTACCAGTATTCTGGGATAAGAGTGCACAGCAAACTTGTCAAACTTATCTTCCACCAAGAGTTCTTGAACACCATAAAATTCCAAAACTAAGGGCATCCACGTTTAAAGCCCCCCAAACTTGTAACGCAAAAAAACCGCCATTAAATCGCCCCTCCAAATATAAGGCCCCCCCCCCCACGGGGTAGGGGGCAGGGGCAGGGCTTGTACTTGGAAATTGCCCTCAAATACAAAGTAAAACAAAGCAAAAACGGTAAATTTCCTTCCAGCCATAAGGCTAGCCCAATCGATCTTCCAAATATAAGTCCCTCAAAAAGGGCTTTGACAAATATAAGCCCCACGGCTTATTTTTGCAATTTTACAGTACTATATGTGAGCCAGGTCTTCAAATTTTACTGCACAATTCATGTAACTGTCTGTGTTCCAAAGCAAACCATAGGATACATCTTAATGCAACCTAAATACTTAAATGGCCAAAAAACACTAACAGTCAATGTACCTCCATGTTTGATGGCTTGGGTCATGTCCAGTTTTTCCTGCAAATCTTTCAACTGTTCTTCTAATGTCATTTCTTTTCTCTGCTGTTCAGTCAAGATAAAGTCTTGAACAAACAGAAAAAGACACAATCAGCATCACTGACATCCACCACGACTCAGGACACAAAATTGCTTGCAAGCCAGTTCAAACACTTACTTATAATGTTATTAATAAAGAAAGACAAAAAAAGGTGGGAAAGAAAGCAGGTGAGAGGTAGAAAAAATTGAGGGGGCAGTGTCAGTTTTTCAATTACAGGATATCGTGATATGTCTTAGTGCATAATTGCCTGAACTTCAAAAGCTGTAATTTTGGCACCAGGATCAAAAGCCATCATGGTGCTTGACTAATAAACAATGTAATGAACAATGTATTGAATTTTTCTCTTTGCCAGATACTGATCACAAAACAGATAAAGTTTTTCAACACAGTAGTGAGTAGGTTAAAGTTCCTGTAGGCATCTCACCTTCTTCGGTAGGTTCTCTGTCAGCAAGAGTTGGTGGTTCCTCCGTATGTAGCCCTGTAACTGGGTCTATACCTGCACGTTCCACCTGCCTCCTGGCTGCACGCACAATAGGACGCCCCTGGTCTCTTAGCTTCAGTGCTGCCCGGTAGTAAACAGTATCTGGAGCATTATATGTCATGCAATTACCGATGATCAGGTTAAAATCACGTTCAAACTGCTCCATTGCCGTGTAGTGGTTTTCTTCAATACGCTTAGACATTGTTGAGAAATCCATGGGCTCCTCAATAACCTCAAGGTAATCTGTTACCTGTAAAAAGAACTTTTACATTTAACCTGAGAAAATTAATTTAATGTTAATTTCTATTTTCAGCTTTAAGGTAATTATGACATGCACTTAGATTATTGGTTGAGGTCCCACAAGCAGACTAAACAAGTGTGTCAGGCTGTGTCAAGTGTGACCGGGTACTTTTTCAGTTTTAGTGTCAGTGTCTGTTACTTACAGGTAGGTTATGAGCCAAAATCAAAAACTAACAATGATGTTTACAACTCTACAAGTACGATCTATCTGGTGTCTATCTAAATCCACTTGAGATGGACCAATCTTGGCTTCCTAGAATGACAAGCACATTTTGGGATAAGGTCATTAGTACGAAAAAGATTTACCCCTGTGGTAACAGTCACTGCACAATTTTTGTGAAGTTGCTCAAAAGAACCCTGAGAACCAGGTTGCTAAGCATTTCTTCTAACCAGTGTCATGGCCTGGAATAAACCTAAACTCAGTGTTGACTTCTTCATGCTCGTTGACGCCTTAAGGTAATTCCCTTGTTTTGCACTGCGCATCCTGTACTGCGCATAACAATGCTAAATCCAAGATGGCGGCGGTTCTTCCCACTAGCGCGAATAGAACGAACAAGGGCCGCTTTTGCAGAGCTAAAGCTTTTATTCGCAATAATAATGCCGCAGATCGGCTGACAGCTTCCTGGTTTGCTATCGAAAAACAAGAAAATGAAAGAAATGTGCGTGATCCCGAAGTCTGCAGTGGTTTTTCACTTCGCGGCCGTCGAGTTNCCTTAAAGTCAGTGCTAGAATAATTCTTTGACAGAGAAGAAATTGATTGAACACAAGATGGCCATATAAAGTCATCTACCATACATTAAGTATTAGAATTAGAATAAAAAAATTAACTGGCAAGAATGTGTTGATCAGGCATCTTGTTGTTGGTCTACTTTTTCACACGAAATAGCAATTTGATGCTTGGCAAGTTGTGAAGCTGTTATTTCCAAAATTGCTGTTAACGAGCAAGTGGGACCACAGCTATTGTGACACTGCTGTTACAATGTTGTAAACTTGTGTGCATGCTCTAAACAGCGCTGTAACAGCACAGTTAAATACTAGTGGGACCTCAACTATTGTTGAGAAAAACAATAAAAGAATGATTAATAATATTACAATCCATTAACGAATGAATTGACAACAAATCCATGTATATGTAGGTAAATATAAACATTTTTACAAGTAAAATAATGTCATAACAAGATCAGACAGTTTTCACTGTTTCCCATTGTCTACATGTGTAAAAATGTATGAAGATCAGCAAGAAAAAAATTAATACGCCTGAAAGAATGAGTCTAAAGCAATCATGTAACATGAAAAAATAAAGTATTTTGCAACTAGCTAATCTGCCAGGCCCCAGCCAATAACAAAACCACTGTCACTCTTTACTCAAGCTAAGACTGACCAACCTCAATTTTGTTTCACAATTCCAATACATAACCAACAGAAAAGATTACCGGAATTAATAAAACAGTCACTAGCACAAATTTTCCTGCTCCTTTTACAAATTATTCTTTAAGGAAATGTATGTAGATCTGTCTGGAGAATTTGTTAGTGGATATTAGGGCTTAAAGGGTGAGAGAGATATTTCTTAAATGCAGACAACTAAACCAAAAACTAGACCAAAACTGTCACTTATGTAAAAGAAGTCTTTGATCATGTTACCTCCTCAGTGTCCACAGGTTCAGCAAAAATTTCTCCTGGATCCTTGGTGATCAGAAGGTCAAGGGTTTTCCTGAGCACAATGTTCAGTGGCTGCAACTGCAGATCAACCACATGCTGTTTTACCTTTACCTGAACAAGACATACAATAATGATTAAAAATCAGTCTTTGTTTCCAAAAAATATTATTTCATTACGTTGCTACGAACATTTCAGGAATACACAGAGCTGCAAATAATTTTTTGCATGCCATACGTACTCTCATAAACTAAAAAGTTGATGCATGACATGTATCACTCAAAAACATCTTTGCTTAAACTTTGTCTGTTAAGATTCCAACAGAAAATCAGATGACCAACTGTTACTTGCAGCTCTGTATGTAGCTTTTTATATATGAAATGAAAAATTTTCTTTTACACAGATGCTTGCCTGTTCTCGCTTGAGCTTCTCCCTCTTTCTGATCAACTCCACCAACAGTCGAGCTCTTTCTAGGTCATGACGGAGACGCTGCCAGAAATGTAGTTGCTCTTTCATTGCCTTGATTCTTTGTGACCGCTCACTAGACTGTAAAAAAAACAATACATAAACTGCTCAAATTACAGATGTTTGAATAAAACCAGAAAAGTACACATATAACTACCGAAATACCATTATTTTTTATTAAGAGTACTTATGTCATAATGATGGTAATAACAAAACTAGCATTTTCTCACATTCTCTTACAATACAATTCTATACCTATTTTAAACCCGACTGAAAGGATGCTTCTTTTGTGTAAAAAAACAAACAAACAAACAAACGAAACAAAAATTACAAAATCAAAGAAGCTGCAAACATAAGAGAAAATGTTCTTTTGAGGTAAATGCCATGTTTGCCCACAAAGCATTTTTGTTACTATAACTTGTAAGAGATTTTGTTTCAAGGACATTAGTTGACAAAGCCTTCATATCTGAATTCAAATTTTGTGCTAACCCTGGGTTATCTTAACCCAGCTTTGAACAACCCGGCCCAGGTGCCCAGCAAAGGAATTCTACAAAAAAGCTAAGATTTCCTACTCATCCAAGAGTAAAAGTAAGGCACCAGGGACACTGGGCACTAGCACAGCCCTGTTTCAAGAATGCTTAGAGCTATCAGCAAAGAAGAGAGTTTAGGTTCTTTTCGTACCTCATCAGCACCAGCTTTCTGGCTTTGATGACTTGCCTGGAGTCTTCTTATCAGAGGGACACCATTCCTTGATTGGCGCTTAAGCATCCAGTAACTCTGAAGGCTCTGGATGAACTGTGCTTTACGAGCCATTGCTACACGACCCACAATCTTACTAAGCCTGTAACAAAAAGGATACTATAGTTAATAAAGATGTGGTTAGGGAAGGCCTCTCTAATTGATGACAACTACTCCCCGTTACAGAGGCCAAATGACACTTTTATTTATTGTTTGTTTTCTGTTTTGAAAAAAAATTATAAAAAGTACATGTGCAACGGTAGTTCTGAGACAAATGAAACAAAATTTGAACAACACTTGCAGATGACATACACAGATGATGAAAACGATCAAGGAGTTAACTAAAATATTATAAACTGAACCTCTTCTCAAACAAACATGTTTAATAGGCATAAAAAGTAGGACCAAGCTATGTTAAAGTTCCAATTGTTCCGTCACAAGCTCACGAAAGTTGTTTAGCCCTTTGAAATAATGTAGCTGAGTAAAAAAAAAAAAACCCTGGCGGTATAAATCCCAGGAAGAGTACAAATTAAAGGGGGGAAACTCTGTATAAGGTTTTTGTTAATGATGACTTTTTTAACCTTGCACTATACAAGACACAACAGTAACAACGGCATTTTTGTGGCCCTACAATTATTATTGCATGCTTGACTGAATTATATATGCAATTGCTTGTTTGCTCACTAAATAATGTCCTATTTTAGAACACATCCGATTCTCTACAGTGGCAACAGTAAAGTTCCCAAAGTAACGACCCCTTGACCTTGAAGAATTTTTACCTCTGACCTTCTGCAACCAGATCAGAACCTGATCAGTCCAGAATAAAGCAACATCTCTAGTTAACACAATCACATTTACAATATTAATCACTTTACAAATTTGATAATTGAATTGCTCCAAATTTTAACACATACATCTGGAAATTAAGGTGCAAGGTCATCACCAATTAGAGACAATTTGCAGGTACTAAAACAATGACTTTATCCCTTCATAATTAAAATTAGAGACGTGAAGCAGATAAGTTAAACATGCTTACCTGGCATTTTTTTCTAAATTGACAATTTAATCACTACAATTTATACTTTTCTTTTTCTTAGAAAATATAAATACAGACCAAAAGAAATAGAATTAAATTGTAATTATTTCAACTTATTATCTTTCCTAATTTGCACACAAAAACAATTACACCATAAGTGAATCAAATTAGATCTGAATTTAACCAAGCATAATTACAAGCATGGCCCTTTTTATAATAATCAGTTGCTAGGCAACATTTCTACACAGGCCAAATGCTTCAAAGTTATAGTCATTTAAGAATTAGCAAGAAACTGATTAAGGCCAGTACATTACTTGTCCATTCAACACCCATTGTAGTTAACAGTGTTAAGCAAAGAAAGTGGACTTCTCAAAAATTTCTCACCCAAGTCTTTGAAAATAGTTACTTGTGTTAAGAGCCCACCAAGTGGTTATTCAAAGGTCTCAACACCTTTCAAGTACAGTACCATGACAATTTTACATTCGCAGTTAAGTGGAAATGGGTTTAACAGTCCTGTTAAAATGACTTTGTTTTGTAGTGGTCACCCTAGGCTTCACAAAATGTTCATGCCACAGGTTTTCTTTTACAAAATTTTACCTTCTGGGAGACAAATAATCAAACCATGATGAGATCTGGGGTTGCAAGGGTTGCAGTTCTGTCTTCTTTAAGCATAAAGAATTAAACTGTCATAAATCAGGAAAAGTGACCAAACAATCAACTGAAGGTGTCAAAATGCCACCTGTAACTAGAATTTGACAAGTCCAGGCTTTCAGAAGTCACAATAACAGCTGCTTTCTAATAAAACCACTTAAGTTGCATAAAACAATGTTAAATCAGACTTTCATGCAAACATTCTACCAATGCCTTACCTGTGAGCTGGAATAAATGGAATGTTCACAATCGGCACTCCAGTTGTTTTCTTCTCTGCCAAAAGTTTTCTGAATTTCTTGATGCTTCGTTTTGATTTAGCTGATTTTGCTGCCTTACTGAGTCCTTTGGCTGGTGTCTTGCTTGGAGTCTTGCTCTTTGAGACATTACCCTTCTCCTTCACTTCATCCTCGCTTTGTTCCTCCTCCTTCCCAGCTTCAGAGTCAGAGGGTGTGTGGACATCACAGAAAGCAGTTTTGCGCACCGTAAGCTGACCATTTTCTCCTTTTATAGGTTCTATTTTCATGTACAAACCAGCTTGCTGTGCACAAGTAACATGAAATGCTGTATAGCAGTTTGTTTTGAAACACTGGATGCACGCACCATGTCGCCGCTTACATATATAACATGTAAGTTTCCACCTTGCCTGAGGAATATTCTCAATTGAGTCAATTGGTTCCAAAAATACAGTGTTTGCAAAGCAGACTTCTGGAATCCAAAGCGCACATACCACATGAGCCCATTTCCCAGTGTCAGTCTGTTTAAAAGCACCAGTCTTGTTTGGGCACAAGACACAGTCTACTGCCCTTGATGGAGATTGCAGACAGCGTCGACACAGCCACTGCCCCTCAGGAATATATGGCACTCCATAACACTCCTGATGCACAGCCAAGTTACACATGTCACAAAACAGGATTGCGTTACTATTTTGGCATTCACCGTCGTTACAAATACAACACACTGCATCTTCATCTATGTACTGGTTTGGATCACAATTTGTCTGGCTCTCGAAGAATGATTCTTTCTCAAGTCGATCCATAAGAGTCTCAAACACTTCTTGAGAAACCGGCGCAATTCCCTCACTTTTCCGCTTTTCGTTTATGGTGTCCAGCCACACGTAGTCTTCTTCGTCCATGTCATATTCGACCATTTCGTCCAATTCTTCAGTGGTCTGCTCGATAAATCGAAAATAAGCGCTTGGCCTAGGAGGTGCATCTGGCAGTCTAAACCCTGGTTCCTGAGTTTCGCTAAACTCCGCTAACGGCAAACTCGATTTGTTTTCGCCGGTTTCAGAAGTTTTGTTGTCATTTCCCTTTGTATCGGTGAGCGGTTTGATCATCATTGTCTCAAACGCAAAGGTTTCCTCAGGTTTTTGCGGAGGTTCCGGCGTGGAATTAGTAGTTTCATCCTCGTCTAGAATATCCAGTTGATCGTTTATGTGAATTCTTTGAGGCAAACCTTCGATTTCGACCTCAACAATTTTCTGCGCTTGAGCGTATGTTAGAGTCTCTCGTGGCACGGTAACCTTTGGAGGCGATGGTGGTGGTTTTTTGTTTTTAACACTTTTTCTTCCACGACCCTTTCCTTTCTTACTTTTAGAAGAAGTCGGTGTAGATCCTGTGGCTTCCATGCCATCATGTTTAAAAACACGCAGATGATATTCAATTCCACTGTAACTCTTGTAAATCTTTTGACACAAAGGACATTCATATGGCGGTTTAGTCGCCCGAAGATTGTCGATAAGTTCTCTCACATTTACTATCATGGTTAATTCGTTTCTGGTATCAGAACATTCTTCATCGAGATTAAAATATAAACACACAGTCCTTGGGAATTTGAATTATTCTTCCGTAAATGGCGATGCCGCGGAATGCTCTTGTAAAGAAAGCTGCGTTTATCTTCAGTAACTTTGAGAACCGTACGAGTGAGGTCTTAGCCCGCAAGAATGCGATTACCTGTCTTAAAGAAGAACTTGCCTTCGTTCACGTACAAAATCCATTTGTTTTGAAGCCAGACGAAGCCAACGATTTTTTTCATCCAGCAATACGAAGCACTGCGACCACACCAAGAGTCGTTAAAATGGCGACATCGAACACGACAGCGTTCGTTCCGCAATGATTTTCGCTTTGCGGTAATGTCACTGAAAATTAAAACGAAAAAAAACCTTTGTGAATAAAAATGTCTTTCTCAGTCTCCCCAGACACTAACCTCTAAGGCAGATCCACGAACCCCTTTCGTTTTTAAAGTGATTGTTCTCATGCCAAAGCGTAAACGGCCACGAACAAAATACGGTTCTCCGAACAATGGCCTGCGATAATGGACGGCGCTCTGGTTAACTTCAGTTTATAAATTACTCCAGATTCAGTGGACGCAAAACCACCTTAAACCACTTCCTGCCCGTCTTTTCGAATTATAAGAAGAACCGCTTGGTATTACTCTAAATTGTTCGTGGGTAGTGGATCTGCTACGTCTTCAGGCGAGTTGTTTCTTGTCCGTTGAAAGGACTCACCTTCAAGTTGACCCTTTTACTTCGCCGCCAACGAAGTGCAAACAAAGGAACGCATTCAGAGCACGAATTCGCCAAGTTTTGGGAAAACTCTTAGCGAGAGACCTACTCAGTGGCTCAAGGATGACTATTCCTAGACCTTCTCTTATTCGACGCTTTCTTCAGACTTACGAGGAAGCCGGAAACCTTGAACTTATCGCAGGGTGGTGAATTTCGTTTCGAAGAAGATGGCGCCAGTTACTCTCGTGGACAAGCTTCGCCCCTGATTATTTTCCGCCACGCAGCGACTCCCCCGCAGATTATGTAACTTTTAATTTTGGCAGCGTCGAAAACATGGGGACCTGTTTTTGGCACATGGCGGCTGAAAACGTATCGAAAACACATATTTATGCCTAAAAAATAGCATACATAATGTTGAAAGCCTAGAACAATAGCTGTTTTTAGGCGAACAAAATTTGACCGGTTACCTCTCCAAATGAGCGTGTTATTGACCACTATGCATTTGCGTTTGTGCAATGGCAAATCGATACCCCGTTTTGTATTTATTAATCAGTGAAAATTATTTTTAACTTTCATCGTTAATTACAAGTAGCTAAAAAAAGGCTATTGACCGCTGTTTTTCGTTTCTGTTTTATGAAGGTCGCAAGTTGAAACAATCTTTGGAATCTTACTGTATCGATTTTTAAAACAAGCTCTAAAAGTAAAAAAATATCATACACTGCGGTAAAATCGAGTCAGTGCGTGAGAAAGGTAAGGGGTTTTACTTTTAAAGTCACGTTATTTCTTGATTCTAACACATGATCATCATGCATAGCGGTATGTTAACAGTATGGAAACTACAGCTGACTAAAAAAAATCCAGTCTCTTTAAACTAAGTGACCTGAGATGCGATAAAAAATGTTATTTTTATCGACTTTGAAATTTGTCAATTTCCATTTTAGAGAACGCCTGTGTACGTGCCAATTTATTGCCACTTCGTCGTGTACACTCAACCGCAAATGCACAATATTATTTCCATGAAGAAGTTGTTTCCTGTTCAAAGATCCCAAAAAGGTAGTTAATTTCCTTCTGATGGAATAATTTGACTGTCAGCTGGTTAGCAAAAATAGCTATAAAAACGTATTGGAGAATCACAAAACGCTTTTTATCATGTACCATGCAAATAAAAAACGGTGCGAGCATAGTTAAATACCAGTCATTCACTAAAAAAGGACAATTCGATTATTTCGAATAAATTCCTCTTTAAATCTTTCCAAAGAAATTGCTTGGTAAAAAACAAACAAACAAACAACTAAACAACAACAACAACAACAACAAACAACACCATTCGGCGAAAAACCCTGGGCCAGAAGCGCCTCGTTTTCTTCTTGATACTTAGCAAAAGTAGACATTTCTAACGATAGAAAATTAGAAAAAAAAAAGCTAACAACAACAACAACAGCAGCAGCAGGCAGGAGTCACTCTTTCATGAGAACACTTTGCCAGCAGTGCTCTTGTGAGCCTACTTAAGAGAGCGCTGCCCCTACGCCTGATGACTAGTTGAAAGTAGGGGAATCCCCCGGACTCAAAAAGGCGCCGTCAAGTACATCAGTTGATCCTACCGCCAGTGAGATTTATCAGAAAGTTCGCTGCGAATGACTGATTCGCTCGATACAATTTCTTAGCATCAAGGATTCGATTTTACAGATTACAGTTACTCAACGTGGTAAAATCAATATGAGTTTGTCCGAGCAGCCCGGAACTGCCTCAAGTCACTAATAGAATAGATAGCTTGTTGCTAGGTAACAGTCGGGAAACTGCATAAAAGAATTGATACGATTGGAGTAGAGCTCGTAGTCACTAAGACCATTTTGCTAGCTGGTGGCTGCTCTAGCCAGATATTTAAACGTCGAAATCTTTTGATTCGTCAACGAAAGTGACAACCACTTCGCACGTCTTTATTTATTTATTGCTTGCTATGCCGGACCGGCTGTGAAATGAAAACCCGCCAAGTTTCATGAATCAGTATGTCATTCTAACCGATCAATAACCACGCACATGAGAACAGGAAAAAGCTCTTGCATGCATCGTGACACGGACCAAAAATGTGAAAATATATATTTCAAATAATTTTTGTAAGATGGAATTCACTCAATCTTGACCAAATTAAAGGTGGTGTATTTTTTTTTGCATGAGCAGTGCCTGTGGCCAGTGGCGGAGGAAAAAAACCAACATCGATCAATAGCTTCATGGATGAGGTTCATGAGCTGGGAACGACCGTTTACGAATCGAACAACCGCTAACGAAATTAAAAACTTAGTGCTGAAAAATATTTTCAGGAAATAAAAGAGAGTGAACTTTCAAAAGATGGTTCTTGCGAGAAATTTGGATATAAGATGGCCGAGATAACGTCATTCAGGACAGTTAATTTTGGGATTTAACCGCAGATCTTAGATTGTCAATTTATCAATTTTTCAGCTTTTTGTCGCTGAGAAAATACTCCCAGGACACTTCGTATAATGGTCTATATGGGGAGGTTCCGCCCAAAAGGGGAACATTTTCAGGCGTCCGGATGTACTAAATGGTCGGGATTCCATGAGTTGGAAATTTGGAAGACCAGCCATAACTTCAAGTGAAAAAAAAAATGTTTGATTTTCTTCAGAAAAAGGGATGCACTGTTCTTTAGTAGGTATACGAACGGGGTATAATCGTGTGCGGCGTTTTACTTGTTTAAGTCTGTTGAAAATAGGGTCTAAAAGAGTAAGGGGTTGGACCTCAAGGCGGAGTCTCTCCGGTTCAGCCGGTTGAGTAAACCCTCAATCCCGCCTCTACCATCTGGGGTTTTCATAGGCAACACGAGTTTCCCGTAAGCCGGGTGAAGAAATCAAAGTTGGATGATACCTGACGGTATTTTCATTTTAAAATTCTTCTGTTTTGGAAAGAAGAAGAGTTAAGCAGACTGCACGAGAAGAATCTAAGATTTATGGAGCAACTCAATTCTCAAACCACCGACGACCCTTAGGTTGCAAACTGACGTAAGGGCGATTCTTTAAAGAGCATGCAGGGTTCCACAGTGGTTTAAGGGGAAGGAAAAGTGCTAAGAGTCTGAGGGACTGTTTACAAAGGAGGTGGGGGACCCCAGGTAGGTGAGATAACCCGCTTAGGTGAGGTAACCCGCGCGTCCAAATAATCTCTCATTTTAATTTGATCACGTTTACATGATAGCTGGGGTGACCCAACGTATGTTACCTCACCTATCTGGGGTCCCCCACCTCCATGTAAACAGGCCCTTAGGGGGATTGGTAAGGAGTCATGTTACCACGATAAAGTAAAATAAAAATAATTTAAGTTTTGTATGCTGGGAAGCAAGGGTGGCCAACGATGAAATGATGAGAGAACTCGCATCCCTCCCTCGGGGACTGGGCTAAGTCTTGGCGTCCAACAGCCCCGACAGGTTCTGGTTTCCCTTCCTCCTTCAAAACTGTGAGGATTCCTTGGATTACAGAACGTACTGTTTTTGCGTAACAACTGTGAACACAGATAGCTGGTATCATGTCTTTTATTTAATTTTGTTCATTGATAGTTACCAGTACATTGTAACACAAAATATCTTAAATCAGAAGACGTTATTATTTGATTTCACGTTTGGCACTGTTTAGTACTGGCTTAAAAACCGACCCGTACAATGACCAAACAGGATTATTAAAGACAAGAAGAATTCTGAAGAATCGCAAAATACCTTTGATACTGAGATCATAATCAGACGATTTAAAACACAGATATGACTTTCATTAGTGAACCAACTATCTTGTTTCATCATTTAAAATATAGTAAACCGAACAATTGGGTTCAAACTGAAAAGGTGGAGAGATCGAAAGTTTGAAAAAGTCGCTCTTTTCTCGCAAGATCATCGGAATTCTTGTCGGGTGGTGTCTTCAGGAATCTTCAAAAGTTGAAGGATCTCCGTTAAAGAGACGTTTTTATTTAACAATTCACGAGGAAATTATTCTCCGCTAATTTAGCCCAACACAAGGCATTAAGAAAGCATTTTATCCTACAGCAGACAGTACAACTTCGCTAACGACTGCATCGTCGCTGCGAACGGTGATATTCATGGTAACTCCCTGGTCAAACGCCAACCGAGCCCGGACCAGGACATCGTGTCCCCCACGGAATACGCCCGCTAGGAGCAGGGCGTGGGAGTTTTTATCAGGGTTTACTTTATCGGATCGTTCACAAGGCTGCATACCTAAGTACTCTATAATCTGCTTGACGGCCTCTGCAAAGAAACGAGCGGAAACAGTGTTTGATCAGTGGCCACAACTATGATACACTCTTTTATAATAATAAAAAAAATGTTGTTTCTCCAGCCCAGCCCGAAATTTCTTACTGTTTTGGCGATTTCAGGCTGAAAATATTATTGTATTATTCTTAAATTTTATTTTAAAAAAGAAAGCTATCATGAGACTTTTCGCGGTTTAGTTCATTTCTTTTGTGCTTTAAACCGCACGTATATATAACATGTACCGTTCATCGAACTGTTACTGCATTGAACTTTTTCAGGTTTTGGGTTTATTCTCAATATATTCTTAAAATTACGCAAATTTCAGTCTCGATATTAGCATAAAATATATTCTTATAACAAAAGAGACCACCGGAAGAGTATCAGTTTTAAAAGGACATAGGAGGTCAATTCAGTAACCAAAATGTAATTTCTCATAACAGTATACTATTATTGCTTAATCAAACATAACAGTAATGAGAGTGAAGAAAATGATCAACAAAGTCCAACTCCATACAAATTCTCATTGCACATACCATTAGTAATTATTGGAGAACAGTGATATTAAGCACTCAATACCAATTCTCCTGGGTAAGAGGCATTCTACCCCTGTTAACGACTACGCGGACGGGAAAGGGTGTACCTAAAAGTCTTTACATGTATTTAAAGCTGTCACTAAGATTTAAGTTGTAAGGTATGTGCAATTAGTAGGCGGGAAATTGAACAGCTAGAAATCTCTTTATGTTCTATTTTCCTAGAGTTTTCTCCCAGGGGCCGCGAATGGTGCTCATACTAGCCTCGGGAAATACCCGGCCCCCCGGCCCTTAGTG